AATGAAATTTCATTTTAATGTATGTGATTAGTGTACATTTAAAGTGGCAATAAAGTTATTCCAAGTCTACATGATGTAGTATCTCAGTTGCCTCATGTTTATACACATAAATTTATTTAATCCCAATTCCTGCTTCTTAGGCCCTTCTGGCTAACATGGCTGCCATGTTTGGAGTTTATCATGGTGCAAATGGATTAAAGTACATTGCCAAGAGAGTCCACAATGCTACTCTAATCTTGGCAGAAGGTGAGTGACCCTTCAAACATAGCAATACCCTGTCCAAAAGGAACAACTTTAATGTTGAGGAATTTGAATAAACTCCCAAGGCTACACTGTAAATAGCAATACCAATGGCACTTAGAATTATATACCACTCTGAGGTGCTTAAAACACTCTCTGAGCAATTTACAATGTCAACATATTGTCCCCAACAATCTGGGTCCTCATTTCACCAACCTCAGAAGGGTGGAAGGCTGAGTCAACCTCGAGTTGGTCAGAATAGACTGCAATACTGCATTCTAACCACTGTGCCACCACAGTTTCTTTTCTTGACATTGTAAAGTGTAATGATTCCTAAAATAGATTTGTAAAACAACTTAGAATAATTTGATCCAAGTCTAGTAATATGAAGAGTCAGTCACCAATAGTGCCAACATAGTTGCCAATAGCAGCCATATTTATTTGTTTACATACCACCTTTTATTATCTTTATAAATATCAAGGCCGTGAACATGCCAAATATTCCTTCCTTTCTTAATTTCTCAACGACAACCCTGTGAGATGAGTTATGCTGAGAGAGAGAAAGAGACTGGTCCAACATCACCCAGCTGGCTTTTATGCATAAGGCAGGACTAGGACTCAGCTTCAAATTATAAAAAATGAAAGACATATTGAACACAATTGTGTATAACATCTGAATGGGTTTGTGTTTGTTAGGTCTGAAGAGAGCAGGTCATCAACTCCAACATGACCTATATTTTGATACCTTGAAAATCCAGTGTGGGTGTGACATCGAAGAGGTCTTGCAAAGGGCAGCCCAGAGACAGATAAACTTTCGGATTTACTCTGACGGCACGGTAAGTGACAGCTTGAGGATACTCAGAAGTGGTTTTAATGCGTTTATCCATTATCATTTTCTCTTTAAAGAGAATAAAAATTTTAAAAAAAATCTAAGAAACTCTGAGGCCTTTAGTGCTCTCTGAGGATGGTGGTTTTCTTGTAGACATTTCATTACTATTCTAGGTAACATCATCAGTGCTCTAAAAAACTCAGTTGTTGTTTCATAAGGGAAGCTCAGTAAACAGCCACTGAATGTGTGTTAGAAGAAAGAACATTCCAGAAACAACATTTTTAAATTGTTGATGTTCATAGTAATTATTAGAACACTATACATGATGTATAGGGGGTATTAATAAATGTCATTCAGATTATGTCATTCAGATTATGTCATTCAGATTATATATTCTGATATTCTTTCAGTGTAGCTCATTGATAGAACATATTGAAACGCTTGCATTGATGAACTTAGAAGTTGTGTCCTTTCTTTCTTTCAACTGTCAATAGCTTGGAGTTTCTCTTGATGAAACTGTAAATGAAAAAGACCTAGATGATCTACTGTGGATTTTTGGTTGTGAATCTTCAGCTGTAAGTATATCACTGATTAGAAAACTAAATAACGTACCAACATAGAACATAACTCAGTCCATAATGTCAATAGTAATGCCTGGATTCTCATCCATTCACCAATATCACAGAAGGTACTGGGAAAATATTTTAAACTTTCAGCAATGTGAAGGGAAGTTCAATAATGCAACTTGCATCATTCCCAAATTTTAACACTATCCATAACTTCACAATTTTGAGCCTTCACAATCTCTGTGAAATTTTACCCTTTTGAAATCAAAAAGTTATAAATAATATCCTCAAATATCTCATTGTGTGCAACAGTTTCCAGTTGCACTTCAGACTAAGATAACAACTAAGAAGGTATACTTGCAGATTGAAACTCAATTTCTTTTGAAAGTAAATAATCCTGTTTCTGAACTGAGCATATTTTACTTCATAATAGATTATACAAAGATAAATGCAACCCCAGCCAAACCACTGAAGGGACAGTTCCCCCCACTCCAAAAAAATAGTTACTATCCAAGAATGAAAACCAAATTAATTCTGAGAGGAGAAAAGAGATTGACTGCTTCTTTTATGTTTGAAAGGAATTAGTTGCAGAGAATATGGATGAAGAAACAAAAGGCATTTTTGCTACTCAGTTTAAGAGAACATCAACATTCCTAACACACCAAGTATTTAACAGGTTTGTAAAACTTTTTGGAATTTTTTTGGTCTCTTGTTGGTTGATAAAGTAATACAAAGATGAAAATGAGGTATGTGATATTCCAGAAAAGCAATGCTGGCAAGTTAAAATATTAAGCTACTAAGTTTGCATTTTAGGAATCTTGTTGTACTAAGTTTTTGAAGGGAAATTGTCTAATTTGACCAATTAATAACAACACACAACTAAAGCAAAATGCTTTATGATTGTACTAGGGTATACCTTTTATCTGTATGTTAATTTAAATACAAATGTTTCATCAACATATATAGTCAGCCTGGAAAAATGAGCAAATATTGACTATTACTAAGAGGAAGAATTTATTATTGATCTAACAGATGACTTGGAGGCATAAATAGTGTTCAGCTATTATTATTACCTTGGTTGTTCATGTATTTTTTTTTTGTCTCTGCAGCTATCACTCTGAAACAAACATTGTCCGATATATGAAAAGATTAGAAAACAAAGATATTTCTCTTGTTCACAGTATGATTCCTTTGGTAAGTATAAATTGAAAAGGAGAAAAAATATAGCTGTTAGTTTTCTTGAATAAAATTCTGATGGTGTGTTTTCTTTCTTTAGGGATCCTGTACAATGAAGCTGAATAGCTCATCAGAACTTATGGTAAGTTGTTTAAATTAATGTATTATTTTTATTGAATACATTTCAGATAACTACTCAATCATTTTTGTGAACATTAAATAAACTCAAAAGATTTTGGGGTCGATTGCAATCTGTTTCTCTAAAAAAGAACAATATAGAATTACATTTTGGTGAAGTCAAGGAAGTTTTGATCTTGTGAACAGGCTCAGTTAGTTTAGGTGGATATTAATAATTGAATTTGGCTTGCTCATAGGATCATTGTACAGAACAATCAGATGAGCAAGATTCTGTTATTATAACCAATCTCAATAAAAGTAGTTTTAATCTTCTTTAGCAAAGTTGATTACCTGGTTTGGTCTATGCAGTGGAGTTGACATCAGTTTTGCAAGTCTCTTTATGCCATACCATCTCCCTCTTCTTACACTGAATTAGGGAGGCATCTACCTGAATCTCTTTCAAATATTATCTGTTGTGAACTGAGGGCATTGCTGTGGTAATGGAGCTTGTATCTCCATCAAGGTCATTTTCCTTGCTCTCTACATCCACCAAGGAATTATTACACACTATGACTTTTGCTATTGCAGGTCAGATGAGGAGGATAAAATATTTCATGGTTAAACTAAACTAAATGCCTGAAGATATAATTCTTCTAGTTACTTTAGAAAATGTATACTGATTTCATTTTCTGAGCTGTAGCAAATATGTCTATTCCTTGTATAAAGAAACAAGCTCTTTATAGAAGTAGTCCACTCCAGTTGACAATCACATTTAAAAAGTGTTATATCAGATTTTCCAATGAATAGCCACACTTTATGTCAGCTTAGAGTTGCATTTCATGTGCTTCCTATAATTTATTTACATATATTTTTAACACAGATGTTTGATTTTTTCCTTTTTCCTTTTCTTTCTCTGTGCTCATCTATGTATCTATGTCTGTTTTGAAGCCTATCACATGGAAGGAATTTGCCAATATACATCCTTTTGTTCCCCTGGATCAAAGTCAAGGATACCAGCAACTTTTTAAGGAACTTGAGAAGGATCTGTGTGAAATCACAGGCTACGACAAGATTTCGTTCCAGCCTAACAGGTAGAAGCAATTTTGTTTGACCCACCTCAGTTTGTACAGATTTGAAACTTCATTTTGTTTTTTCATGTAGTAATATCCTTTCTCAGTTATCTGTGGAATAAGAACTCCTGGTGCAGCTGCACTATTTATATATGATAAATGGAACATAACTCTTGGGCCATGTGTACACATAGTGAAATAGACATTTTTAACATTGCAGATATGTATCAGGTTACAGTGAAGTACAGATTGGTTTGGGTTTAGATAATGGAAATGGAAATAAAATATTTTATCTTAAATGCTTAGGACTTCAGTAGCAGCAACCTGATTTCTGAATGAATATATGTTTGGAAAATGTCTGAGCTGCTTTTCTTCATTGCAGTATTCAAGATTCAAATACATACTCAACCAGACTGTTGTGCCTTGTTTATCATTTTCTTATATTTCTCAGTTCCAATCACTTGTCTACCAGTCCAATAGATGCTTTGGGCTTGTGTTATCCAGCTGTCCAGGGTCTAGCTAATTTCATAATCATTGCAGGAAGTGCCTCCTTCTTCTCTGGGGCTATTTCTGCCCTGCCATATATTTCTTTATTTACATTATTTTAACTTGGGAGCCAGCCAGAAGAGGTTGTGAAGGGAAGACATGCAAACTAGTCAAAAGACAAAGGCAAAATTCATGCTCTGATTAGTTTTCTGGTTATGGTGCTGTCCCCTTTCAGTGTGTCATCACCCCACATCTTCCAGACCATTTGTTTATAAATGTATAACACATCCACAAATCAGAACACCTCCCTTTGGCAGTGATACAGAACAGATGCCATAGAGATAGGCTGTGCTCAGCCAGTGGGAACCACACATTAGTGATTTGTGCTGTGTCAAAGATGGGCAGATACACCTTTAATTCAGTAGTGGCGAAGACTTAGGGAAAAAATGTTAATCTGCTTTAGCAACTTAGGTTTGCAACATGAATTTAAAAGTGTTGGTATTTGGTATCATTTAATCCTCCTTCTCTGCATGGAATGATGTATTCCAGTATTTTTTATTTTGGAGATGATTAAACCTGTTTAACAGAATTTTAAATCGGGATGTTGATTGACACTAAAACACTAAACACTAAAAAGTGTTGTAATAAGCTTTGTTTCTTTGCAGTGGAGCTCAAGGTGAATATGCTGGGCTAGCTGCAATCAAGGCTTATTTAAATGCAAAAGGAGAATGGCAGCGAAGTGTAAGTAAAAAGTGTACTTTTATCTAACTTTTGATTTCCTGTCTCCTATGTAGCTAATTATGTTTGGAATGGCAGCTTGTTTTTCAGTAGAAACAGACTTAATTAGCCTGGCTGTGTCCAATGTAAGCTCTATGGGTTGTTTGTCATTCGCACAGTTTGCTGGTTGCTAGGTGAGATAATCTGCCTCCTTTCGCTAGCCTTTATACACTTGCACTATTTTCTATATGCTTCTAAATGCCTTTTCCTCCTTTAGTTACACTAATCATTCTGCAAAAATTCCACAGAATGTACACTGTGTTTTTTGTTTTGGTTTTTGTCAGACTGAACAAACACGATTATCTTTTCCATTTCCTCCTGAAATAAATGGAGGAGGGGACCAGGAGACACAATATTTTATATTCTGCTCATGCAAGGGTTTATATTAATATTTGTGCCTAAGGCAGAACTAGAACTTATTGTTTCCCAGTTTCTAGCCTGTTGCTTTAACCACTGCATCAAACTGGCTCATTGCTGCTAACAAAGATGCTCTTAAAAAGATACTTCCTCCTGTATCAAGTAAACAGTCTTGTATTCACTAGCTGATTAGCAACCTTAAAGCAAAAGTTAGGTTAAAATCAAAGTCAAGCCATTGATGCTCAGATGGGCAATCTAAAGAGTTTTCTATTGTGATTGTTTTTAATCACTGAGGGAGGGAATCATGTCAAGAGCCAAGGTGGCGCAGTGGTTAAATGCAGCACTGCAGGCTACTGCTAGATCAGCAGTTCAGCGGTTCAAATCTCACCGGCTCAGGGTTGACTCAGCCTTCCATCCTTCCGAGGTGGGTAAAATGAGGACCCAGATTGTTGGGGGCAATATGCTGACTCTCTGTAAACCACTTAGAGAGGGCTGAAAGCCCTATGAAGCGGTATATAAGTCTACTGCTATTGCTATTGCTATTGATTTTGTATCTGATAATAGCTTTGCTCCCAAGTTGGAGAGTTTAATATAAATTACTTCCTTGTGAAGAAATACTAGTCATAAGATACGTATTATACAATAAAATAGCAGAGTTGGAAGGGACCTTGGAGGTCTTCTAGTCCAACCTCCTCCCCAGGGAGGAAACCCTATACCGTTCCAGACAAATGGCTATCCAATATCTTCTTAAAGACTTCCAGTGTTGGGGCATTCACAACTTCTGGAGGCAAGCTGTTCCACTGATTAACCGTTCTAACTGTCAGGAAATTTCTCCTCAGTTCTAAGTTGCTTCTCTCCTTGATTAGTTTCATAGTTTGACTCCTTCTTTGTGGCAACCCCTGAGATATTGGAACACTGCTAACATGTCTCCCCTAGTCCTTCTTTTCATTAAACTAGACATACCCAGTTTCTGCAACCGTTCTTCAGATGTTTTAATCTCCAGTTTCCTAATCATCTTTGCTGCTCTTCTCAGCACTCTTTCTAGAATCTCCACATCTTTTCTATATCGTGGCGACCAAAACTGAATGCAGTATTCCAATGCAGTAAGATGTATAATAGCTTCAACATCACAGTCCTTTCTTACATTCTTGACTATCTTAAGAATATGCCTCTTGTCTCTGCTGACAGTACCACCTGGCAGACACTTGACCTCTTTTAAAACCTCCATATCCTTTCCTAAATTTACATCCCTTATGATTGAATCACCAACCAGAAGGTGACTTCTCTTTTTGCATACCTTGCTCTTCTTGTATGACTGACGTGTGATACCATTTCGCCTTTCTGAAGCAAGTTCTTCATTTTGGACCACGATCCCCTGCTTATTTGAGTCATCATTATCACAACTATCTTGACCTGTCTCTTTAGTGTCCCCATTAAGGTCAGTAAGTGCACTATATCTGTTATGCTGGGTCACATCAAAAGCTTTGTGTTTATGGTTCACAGCTCTCACTCTGCCAGATCCCACGGTTGGGTATTGTTTGTAGTCTTTTTGTCTGTCTTTCATTATACTTGTTATTTGATTGACAATTAATGCAAAGCTATAAGCATAATTTACCTCTCCCAGCGGCCATGTTCTCATTCATACTTGGCCTAAAGGGAAATATATTACTGCTTAGATCAATATTTTCAATGTGTTTAGCCTATAATATAATCAAGCTGGAATTAATCAGGCAGCTTCAAGATTTAACAATGTTACACCCTGTAATTACATCTCATGCATTCAGTTCATGACAATCTATTAATTTTACATGTTTTCTTCCTAAAGGTCTGCCTTATTCCTAAATCAGCTCATGGTACCAACCCAGCAAGTGCTCAAATGGCAGGGATGAAGATCCAGCCAATAGAAGTAGATAAAAATGGAAGCATTGATGTGAGCCATCTGAAAGCAATGGTTAGTTTGTTGCTCCCTCTCCTAATACATTCCTCTATTATAAATTATGAATGTTTAGAAAAAACAAAAGAGAAAATTTGTCTTTTTAAATGTTTTTATGACACCTACTTTTTGACTATTTTTGAAATATTTTTTGTTTGAGAAACAATACTGCGGATGTGTCTGGTTTTGTGGCCTATTTCCTATTCCCCTCTTTTTATTAACACAAAACTGAATATAAGTGAAAATAGCAATAGCATTTATACAGTGGAACCTGGGATCACAAACACTTCTGACCACGATCAAATCGAGTGCCAACCAAAAAAATTTCCTAAATGTTTCACTCTGTTCATCCTCAGGTGGCAACCAATTACATCCACGATTTTCCCTACCGCAGTAATTTCCCCTTCCATGCCTTTTTTGTGTGTGCACGCATGCACAGTCAGTCTTGCTTCCAGTCATGACCAAATCGGGTGCTGACCGAAGTCCTGGAACAGATTATGGTCATGACCGGATGTTCCACTGTATACTGCTTCACAGAGTTTTACAGCTCTCTCTAAGCAGTTTACAGAGTCAGCATATTGCCCCAAACAATCTGGGTCCTCATTTTACCCACCGCGGAAGGATGGAAGGCTGAGTCAACTTTGAGCCTGGTGAGATTTGAACTGCCATATTGCAGGCAGCAGGCAGGCAGCAGAAGTAGCCTGCAATACTGCACTCTAACCATTGTGCCACCGTGGCTCTAGCATAAAAGAGTAAATAGTTATGAAAAATTTCAGGTACCAGATAGAATTATTTACTCTGTGGGTAGAAGTATGATCATCTTCAGTGTGGTTTCCCAACCTTGGCAACTTTAAGATGAATGGACTTCAACTGCCAGAATTCCACAGCCAGGGATGCTGCCTGGGGGAATTCTGGGAGTTGCAGTTTGCTCATCTTAAAGTTGCCAAGGTTGAGAAATGTTGAGTTACAGGAAAAGGTGGAAATCTTTTCTGAGAACTGCTGCTTGATGAAGTTGCTGAGACCAAATGAAATGACCAAATCTGACTCAATAGGCCTTTTATGCTTTTAATGCCAAACCGATAAGAGACAGATTTTATTTGTCTTAAAATTTTGTAATGCTCCATGTGAGGAGAAGGAAGAATCTTGTTTTTATCACTCAGATATGTCACACTATTGATCTTTTTTCCCTTTCTTTTTGTAGGTAGATAAGCACAAAGAAAATCTAGCGGCTATCATGATCACATATCCTTCCACTAATGGTGTCTTTGAAGAGCAGATCAGTGATGTATGTGATCTGATTCACAAACATGGAGGGCAAGTTTATTTAGATGGAGCAAATATGAATGCTCAGGTGAGAAAAAACAAAGGCAAATCCTTTTAATTCATGTATTCAATAATATATTTTTTTAAATCCTAGGAAATGGTTGAGACATGTCCAAATATTTGACTTAGAAATGGTCAACATAATGAGACTCTTGATGCATGGGATTTTGGCAGTGGGAGCATCGAAATTCACGGATATGACTGATTTCTCATATTCAGTAACTCTGTAGTCCTGGATACCTGTTCCTGACTGAAATCTTGGATCACTCTCACACTAGTTATTCATAATTTTGACATGAAAAATTTTATAGAACGGCATCCATATGGGAAAAGAGTAATATTTGGATCTTTATAGTTTCAAAAAAGGATGAGTGAAGAAATACATAATGAGACATTGTGGTGTGGAGAAAGCAATAGACCGCTCCCTATGTTTAATCGTTCAGTTCCACTGAAAAACAAGATAACAAGCTAACATGTGATGGAAACACATAAAAATATTTCACAATGTATATCAGTTGGCTACCAGACTGGGAGAGAAACCACATTCCAAAATCAGAGCAGCCCACGAAGTAAAATTACTTTACTTCATAAAGTTAAAAAAAAAAGAAGATGCTTGTGAGATTAGCCAGAGAAGAAGAGTAGGCTCACAGCATTTGACAAGCCAGCAGGACTAACTGAAGGGTATTATCAAAAACGTCAAAATGGAAATCACTATGGTATGAGCAATGTTGCATCCATTTTTATGTTTGTTAGAAAGAAAACAAAATCCATATGGCAGCCACCAATGGTGCAAATTTTGGTATCTTGCAGATATTTAATTACCATCTAAGTATCATTGTCAGTGCTAGAGCCTCACTCTCTTCTAGCCCTGATGATACTAGCTAGTTGGGTAATGAAACATCTGCAAGAAAACAACCAAACTCAGTGAACACCAAGGACCCCGGAATTCAACTTGACCTACAAATATTCTCTTCTATTGGTGCAATCAAATTTCTCCACATTTTCAAAACGGGGAGTATTACCATCATAGTTGCTGTCTTGACTTTTTTGGCTCACAACCAGCAGATGCCTATGCAAGCCAGATTATGTAGTGTCCCCCATCCCTGTCTCCCCCATTCTCTAAATCTTTTAACATCTAGATTTTGGATTGGGAACATTTTTCTTTCCTTTCTCTGACAGGTTGGCCTGTGCCGCCCTGGAGACTACGGGTCAGATGTTTCTCACTTAAATCTTCACAAAACATTTTGCATTCCTCATGGTGGAGGAGGACCTGGCATGGGACCAATTGGAGTGTTAGTGTCTACTTCTTGTGATAAGAGCATGTATTTTTATTTTTAAAAATTTCATATAGACCTTAAAGCCGAAATTTTAAGAACGCTCGTTAGGGAATAAGATACATACCTAGAATTACCATATAAGTAAAATAGCATTATTGGGAAGAAAAATCTAAATTGAGATAGATGTCATTGCCCCTACATGTATTCATCAAAAATGTCTGTATTAAAATAAGTATTGGTATCCAGTGAGTAAAATATATGCACTCCTCCCCTTATCTGATAAGTGAGGCTCTCTTGTTTTCTAGGAACCAATCATATTGGCCATTGAAATTGGCTAATGATTCTTATATATAAATCAGTGTTTCTCAACCTTGGCAAGTTTAAGATGGATAGACTACAACTCCCAGCAATCCTCAGCCAGCAGTCCTCAACCAAGAAATCCATTCATCTTTAAATGGGTTGACAAACATTAGTATAGATAGAAATGCAGAAAGCTGGATGCTATTCAAGAGGATTTTTTTTCTTCCTGCCTTGATTTAGAGGATCAGGATGAAATGTATTTAAGCAGACCTTCGGTTCTAGCTAATTAAAACATTGTGCTATGTCTGTTGTTGCTACGGTAGGAAGGAAGCTGGATTCAAGTTCTTTTCTTGCTTTTAGGAAGATGCACCTGGCTCCTTTCCTGCCCAGCCATCCTGTCGTTGTCTCACCACACGATGCACATTCAAGCTCATTGGGCACCATCAGTGCTGCCCCTTGGGGATCCAGTTCCATCTTGCCTATTTCCTGGGTTTATATCAAGGTACGGCCATAATTTCTGTTCCTTGTTTCTTCTGTACTAGTACTGTAGATTCTTACACTGACGATAACAGATCTCTGCTGGAAGGTATCTGCAGGGCTGTATGAGAAGAGATTGTATAAATTGCATTCAGAAGTAATTATCCAATCCATTTGCACAAGGGGGCTTGCAAACCCTCCTTCCCATTGCAGCCCCCCACATATAATTCAAAAAAAGCATCAGAGGTGCTACAATGATTTGAAGCCCACATCTTTGTGGAAGCTCACAGCGACATACATAGTCCTCCTATTTTCCCCAATAACAATAAACCCATGAGATAAGTTGAGCTGGCCCAAAGTCATCCAGTGAGTTTCCAAGCTGGAGAGTTGATTTGAACCTTGTTCTCCTATTCCAAGACCAACCCTTTAACCATCATACTACAATTGCAGATGGTTTTAAGTCCCATCATAGACAACCCCAGTTAAAGGGATTAAATAAATGCTGAAAGAGTAAACAGTATTCTACCAGGTGCAGCAGTGAGATGTTGCTACAAGAAACTTCCCCATTCTTTCAAAATAGATAGAAAGGACAATAAATAATAACTGCAATAACGGGGGCAAATCAGATTTGGCAAGATGATTTATACCTTTCAAAAAGTTATTATGGATAAAAACAGCCTCACTTTAAAAATTTTCAACTTAAACAAATTAATTTCTTGGATGAGATCTCCAAAAAAGTATTAATTTATATGCTGTCCACTCCTGAATGGTTCTGGTTGATTTATCGAGTTTGTATAAGCCACCAAAACCATTCACACACTGATGGCATCTCAGCTTATAAACAAAATACTGAATAAATATCAATAGAATGCATTCATTTAGTATGTGCATAGTAATAATTCCACAATTAATATGTAACGTTTAATCATCTATGTCAGGAATATGGCTTTGTTTCCCCCCAGTTTTCATTCATGTTTCCTTTTCTTTAGATGATGGGAGGCAAAGGTCTAAAACATGCTTCTGAGATTGCGATATTGAATGCTAACTACATGGCAAAGCGACTAGAGAACCACTACAAAATCCTCTTTAGAGGCTCCAAAGGCAAGTATCATCACTGGAAATACTTTCTGCCCAGCAAAGTTAGCCATTGTACCGGCATGTTGACATATAGTAAAAGTGAAAGAAACAAACTGAATGAGGGAAGCTTAGTTTGAACAGCTTTTATGGAAAGCCTGAATAGCCACCCCTATCCTCTCAAATAGGAAACCTCATTCAATCTCCAGCAGTTGCTTCACTGCTCAGCAAGACAACCTCTCTAGAGCCCACTAAAATGGGGGAACTGCTCTCTTCCTGGTCCTCTGTCTTATACTCCGATTTTATTCTAAGAGATTCATGTGTTTAAATCTTTACTTCAAAACAGGTTATGTAGCTCATGAATTTATTTTGGATACTCGGCCGTTTAAGAAAACTGCAAATATTGAAGCTGTGGATGTTGCTAAGCGGCTTCAGGATTATGGTGAGATTTTTCTTCTTCTTCCTTTCTTTTTTGAATGGTCCATATTTCACAACCAGCAGAGATGTGATGTTTTTAATGCTGCTGCAGGGTGACTACAGAAGGAGAAAGCTACTCCTGGCTGCTGCTGGTTTTCTTTGCATCAAGAGGAAAGTAGAGAATATACAAATGGCTTTAAGCAAAATCCAGAAATGCATATATTTATTTTATTTTGTATTGTCTTTATAAAGCAGATTAGATCAGAGATTGATTTAGAAGGGGGAGATGGTTGGGATGTTTCATGACTGTTGAGGTTCATTATTTTAAACATCGGGTGAACAATTAGAATTCATATTTCCTAGGATTCCACGCTCCAACAATGTCCTGGCCAGTAGCAGGGACCCTCATGATAGAACCAACCGAGTCTGAAGACAAAGCAGAACTAGACAGATTTTGTGATGCCATGATCAGTATTCGACAAGAAGTAGCTGATATAGAAGAAGGAAGGATGGATGCTAGAGTTAACCCCTTAAAGGTAAGTTCAGGAGGGTTTTAATTGTGTGAGACTTCTACCAGATGCTCCTTGTTCACAATTGAAATATTTGACAGAAAATATGTGTGGGGGCTTTTTCTTTGTTTCTTTCTAAACTATATTTCTTTAACTTAGATGGCCCCACACACCTTGGCCTGCCTGGCTGCACCCAACTGGGATCGTCCATATTCTAGGGAAGTGGCTGCTTTTCCACTAGTAAGTAATGAGTTACTATTTTACAAATATATTTTGAGCAATTATTTTATTAGAAATGTTCTGGTCAGTTTTTAAAAGCCAACAATGTTCCATCAGATGTGCCAAAAACACACACACACACCCTCTAGTGGGTATTTATAAACCAGACAAGCCATGCTTACCTTACTGCATTCAAAGTATTTTATTTGGGACTGCCATAGAGAAAGAGAATGACTTTTCTTCTGTCTTGAAAGATGTCCATCATGATCCAAGTTTAGCACTACATGCACTAGAAGTTACCTGCATGAAAAAAATGCAGACACCTTTCTTGCATTGAATATAGCAGATGGTCTGTATATGGGGGAAGTTTCTAGGCCAGAAAAAACCCAGTAGAACATAGTACAAATTTAACAAAAAAAGGATAGCATAGCTTATATTTTGTTTGAGTCTGATCTACGGTGGCTCAGACTGCTGACATCCCTGTTCTGAAGCAATGTTCCTATACATACTGGAAAAATGAAATATTTACTCAAGTATTCTTGAGTGTGCTTAAAGAAAAACCAAAGCAATTCTGTAAATTTTCATCAGTCTCAGGTTTTTTTCCCCTCAAAACAACTTTTGAGAAATTACTTTTCACTAACTGCTTTGGAAACTGGCAAGTTCAAAAGCAGTATGTGTTGCATTGAAGGGAGGAGGTATTGGATGAAAAGGACTTCGTTTCCACCACAAGAAGTGAAATCAAGTAAAGAAGTAAACTGTTTTGTTTTGAACTGGCTTTGATTTATTCACATTTCAGTTCCTAAAAGAATATGATAAAACCTTTGTACCAACAAGAAAATTATATCCAAAGCAAAACAAGGAACATCTATGGAGATTCTGTCATCCAGGTCATGGTTATCTCAAAAGTGCTTTTCAAAAGGCAACTGATCTTCCTTTGTTTTTTCCTTGAAAATGTTTCGCTTCTCATCCAAGAAGCTTCTTCAATTCTGCTGAAATTCAGAATTGAAGAAGCTTCTTGGACATGAAGCAAAATTATCTCCAAGGAAAAAACAAAGAAAGTCCAATTGCCTTTTGAAAAGCACCTTTGGGACAAAACAAGGAACATTTAACAAGGAACAGTGGTTGTCCTGACTAAGAGGAGAGCCATAGTTATTAAAGTGGAAGGCCAGTGACGTTACAAAAAGATATAGAGACATAGCTAATTGTGGTGGGGAGATGGGGAATTGGAAGGTGTTAAGTGGGAAACTGCAAGTGGTTCATCAGCCCCATCCCTTCCACCCTCCAAGACTTCTGAAGAAGCCCAGTGTGAAATTCAACAGCTAAATGGTTGTTTCACTAGTGCAACTTGGGATCATTTATGGTGGGGTATAAAGGTTCAAAATGGAAGTTTACCTGCAGAGATTTCCCACTTTCATTTCCATCCTTATTTTGGAGGACCAACAAAAAAAAAGTCCTGCCGAATTTCACTAGCAGAATGTTTGGGTGCTGGGGTGAAGCACAGAATGCAGGGTAACCTAATCTGTCTATAAAATGAGTAGAACAACTTCAAATTTCTCAAGCTCCTGGCTTGGTCAGTGAATGACTTCCAAAAAGTTGCTTTGGAGAAAAGAAAAAGAATTCAGCTAGCATCTTTCCAAATCATGTAGGGCCATGATGGCGAACCTATGGGAGGCATGATACAGGTGGCACATGGAGCCATATTTGCCAGCACGCAAGCTGTCAGCTCCAGCATGCAGCTAGCTGATTTTAGGTCTTCTGCAGGGCCAGGGGAGGCCATTTTCACCCTCTCCAGACTTCAAGAAAGCTTCCAGAGCCTGGTGTGAAAACTCCCCCCTGCATGGGTGTGTGTGTGTATGTGTGTTGCACACATGGTGGGTGGGGCACATTGAATTGTGGGTGTGGGCACACATATGCGTGTGATAGCACATGCACACAAATTTTTGGCATGCCTTTACAAAAAGGTTCGCCATCAAGGGCTTACAATCAAAACCTTGCCTTGAAAGCTTTCCTTGATGCACTTTACCACCCATCTTTTTTTTAATGTACATAAGCATATTGTAATTACCAATTTTTGTAGTTTAGATGTTGTACCATATAGCTTTTCTAAATACTCCTTCTTCTTCTTTAGCCATTTGTGAAACCTGAAAGTAAGTTTTGGCCTACAATTGCCAGAATTGATGACATCTATGGGGACCAGCATCTGATCTGTACCTGCCCACCAATGGAGGTCTATGAGTCTCCTTTTGCCGAGCAGAAGAGAGCATCATCTTAGGACCAGCTTCTTTCTACCCTTTGAATTACCTTTCAGATCACTGGGCTTAATTTTTCTTGCTGTATTTGTAGCACTCTGTGAAGACAGGTGAAATCTTCAGCCCGGTTAGCATATTTTATATACAGTGTATATTTTTGAAAACTCCATGCTGTTAATTACATTTCTATGCAGCTATTTGTAAATACTTTTATTAAGCGGCAATTGATTTGATACAGTTTCCATGTCAATCCATGCTGAAGTGCCCTTGATTAAGCCCCTCTTTTCTATCAGGGCTGCTTTTCTGTGATTTAATAATAAGCATTGGACTGTATGAACAAAAGCAATACAGTACACTTTTTAAACAGTGTCATGACTATGCACCTGCTCGCCCAAATGCTCTGTGATACAGGATTAACCCCAATTTTTTTAGGACATAATTTTATAAGGTATTTCCTTTGTATTTGGGCTAAGGTAAAATGGAGTTACTATTCATTTTGTATGAAATGAAGTCATGGACAACCATTAACAGAGTTTGATATGGTCGAATGCAGGTGGCTTTTTTTAAAAAAATGTACCACACTCTAGTTAGATTATGGCAATGCATCTTTGTTGTTTATAATTATATGTCCTAGAACTGATATTTTTTAAATTTCCTCTTGTTAATGTTCCAATTAAAAACTAGCTGACTTTGAAGTTTGATTTCAATCTGTTTGGCAAAAAACAGATCACTTTCTTCACAATACGGACTATAATGCTAGCCAAGTAGCACGGGACACTTGCTCGGCAGCATTTGTGATCTCATCTACCCCACCATAAATGAGGCACTTTGAGAGATTTTGCTAGGGCTCAAACGATTACACTTATGAGAACCAAAGGTTGCCCGCAGGATTGCTAGCATTAAGCTTTCTAATACATTTTGTTCTAATACAGGTATTTAAAGGGCACATTGTTTGGCAAATGAGAAAGCTCTGTTCTCTTTTAGGCTAATCATTGCTGAATATTTCTTAATCAGTCAGCCTTTTCTGTAAAACTGACTTAACGCATTCAGTGCAAGACTTAATTCCCAGTCACAGTTGTCACAGTTCTGTACACTGGCTTAAGGCATAACCAATGAAAGACAAACACACAGACACACGCAGGTCAGACACTTCTCAGAATATGACTTCCTATAAATCTTGGCTTAATGTGGCCTGATATGGGACAGTGCTATCACAGTAGTTATGAGTTCAATCAATTACAATATGCTACAGCAATTAAATGCAAGTGCAACAATCTGAATTTATTATTTGAAATTAAAGGATGAGAGTACATCCTTTACAGCACACATCAAAAGCACATAACTTTTAAAAGCTATCTCACATTGAACAAAGAGATGCCCACAATTGTCAAAAGAGAATTCCAATTTGAAGACATTGATGGCAAGCTGACCACTATGAAAATTGCCTCAAGAACTGCTTAAAAAGAACTACAAAACACGCCATTTAGTGTGGTGCTTATCACCTCTGGTTTCAGAAAAGCTTGCAGGGATAGGAAATGAAATGATAAACGCTAGCAACAAAGTATTTATGAAGGGAAAGTCTCCTTTTAACGCTTCAGTAGACCTGGAGGTTGTAATTTTACAGCAAATGAACTTGGAATAAATTATGTTACTCTGTAACAGAGCAAACTGTACTAATGTATCAGAAAAATGATCAACATTTTATTAGTGGTTAACTAATTAGCACTATTTGGTTATTCTTTTGGCTAACTTTAGCACAGGATAGCTAATTTAGGAAAGATATACCTGTATATATTTTTTAATATTCCACCTTTATTATTTTTTAAAATAACTCAAAGTGGTAAATATACCTAATACTCTTTTCTCCTCTTTATTTTCGCCACAACAATCCTGTGAGATGAGTTGGGCTGAGAGAGACTGGCCCAAAATCATCCAACCAGCTTTCATGCTTAAAGTGGGCCTCAAACCAGTTTCTAGTCTGGCGCCTTGACTAGACCAAAGTAGCTCTGTACATTGAAACAGACATAGTAAGGTCTTGCACAAGCCAAAAAGAAGTTGTGCTTTGTTTATGCTTAGTGTGATGCAGAAAGCTGGTTGTTGTGCCTCCTAGGCCATGACTTATGTCAGCAGAAAAAGGCTACTGCCCTCCTCCCAAAATTATTTCATTTCAGAAAAAGTTCTGAAATCTTGCATGAAAATCCCAACACTTAATTCATCCAAAAGTTCACAAATTTCCAGCCACCTCAAAGGAAGTTATTTAAATTCCAGAAAATTTGACATTTTAAATTTTGTGATAAGAGACAGCAGAATTGTGCGAGATTGTTGATTCATTGTTTACAGTTTAGGTGAACCAGAATATTATAGCTTGTTCATTATTTAATATATTAGAAATTGGCCACTGAATATTTCCATATCCCATTAAAATTAACTGGTTTGGTTTAAACACAATGCTAACTTACAGTTTTAATATTTGTGCACACGGCATAACCTCATGTGTGTTTACCGGTATGTCCATAATACATGACTTGGGTTTCAATCAGTTTGTGATTAACTATCTTTACAAAATAAGCAAGGATTCTTAATCAGCATGAAACTGGTTTTCTAGATAAAAGTTGTAAAATTGACTCTCCCAATATTATTCCTCATCACGGAGGTTCAATTGGTAAGACATATGGGGCTCAGAATCCAGTATAGGCAGGCTACAGGTTTCCAGGGCATAATATTGTTAACCCTTTATCTGGGCTGAAGATATACTCACTAGTCATGACTGAAGCCCCAAAGCTTTTAATCACCTCACAGCTGTCTCATCACTCAGGAGACTGTTATTGCTGGGAGAAAAGCTAAAACCATTTATGAAACTTTGCTTTCTTATCCTACTTTAGCTGCAAATTTACAAACTCTTATGACTAAAAAAGCCATTGGCTGACATAGCAAAGTCAATATTTGTGTATCCGAGAGAGAAACAGGAAAGCTTTCATTTCAATTTTTATCTAACTAGACACTTATTACTATCACAGCTGAAAAATTCTGGTTCATTTAATCTGTGAATAATTCAAATAAGTCATGTTTATAGTTTTGTTATCCTGGCTGATTGACTTAATATAAACCAACCTGAGTTTTGATATTGGTCCAGTTCATCAATAATGATTTCTGTTTTACTTAGTATTACATGTAAAGTAGGTCACTATGGCTTTAACCTGTTAAGTTAAACATTCTGACAGTGTTACATGTGAATTCAACACTCATTTTTTAAACTATCCTATTTTAATTCTACTTTCTTTCTGCTAAAGGAAAAAGACTGGAATGTAAAGTAAAACTAGTTAAATAATGTGAATCCAATGTTCAGTACCATATCTAAAACAGAGTTGAAATCAAAAAGCTTCAGTCTCAATTTGTAATAAAGGGATAATACCAGCTTCCCCACTCAAACAATGCACAAACAACTATGTATATGTTAAAATAGTATGTAAGTACTCAAACATATTTGTTCTGATATCAATAATTATAGTTATCTATAATCAAAAGTTGATATGAAAATGTAATCTCCTCAGAATGAAAGTCTTATAAAAATGTATTTTAAAATATATAACTCTGCAAGGCAAATGCCCAAAGGACTAATGTAAACTTCAGGTTTACTAAGCCCATTTATCAAAATTTCAAATGGAATTTTATGTAATATATACAAACACTATTTCAGGAAATTACTTGCTATCATGTTATGGGTGTAAAATGCAAACAATCAACACTTTATGAATCATAAAATATTTAATAAGTATATTCAGGGGTGGGGAATATACTGTATATAAAATTTCAGATCACAATATGAAGCAATTTGAGCCCTCTCCAAGCTAGCACTGCTTTCAATGCTGTATAAGATGTATTGCCACTAATACAAGACCTACTAAAAGCAAACAATTTTACCTAATACAAAAGTGGCTTGTTTTATATGAAATAGTTTTTACACAATTAAGAGTGTCTTGAAAACCCTCTAAGTGCAAAAAACACAAATCACTTTACATCAACAGCAACAATGCATTCATATTATTCTCAGTCCTTAGTAGTCAACTTGCAGAAGATACGAGAGCACAATAACGCTCACAAAAATAGACTAAAAGCTTGTTGTTGCAAAAAGAGTAAGAAAGACAGCAGGAGGGGAAACACAATAAAGAATTATGCACACCACAGCATTTGATGTTCTGTGATAAAACTGGCTTTTTATGTGCTGTTTTCTTGTTGCAAAATCAAATTGCATGGACCAGGCAAAACTAATGCTCAGGAGGCAGTGTGTAGCTAAACTTCATTAGATGTGTTGTTAAACTTTCCCCCAAATTTGTTTTATCCATTTGAGGTAGTTATAAAAACAACTGAAGACCTGCTACTACCATGTCCAGAGCCAAGAAAAGCCTTTATTCCTGCATACAAACTAATGGCCATCTGTTCAAAACTACCTTTGTGAAAAGGAAGTTGGGAATTTGAAATTGTTACTACACAACAGATTGCTAAATGGGAAAGAGGGTTGAATTAGCGGCTTCACAATGTGATAGTAAATATGAATTCCCTTAAGCTGGCTGGTCCACTGTTTTCCTAGATGGTTTCTTTTTTTTGTTTATTCAGTCATTTGGAGAATAAGGTTACAAATACATATCATCGTCCTTTGCTATAACCAGGGAAGAACTGATCAAGTAGTGTCTGCAGTATCTTGTTGGGAACCATGGTGTATCCCTTCCCAAGGTCATGTCGGCAAGCAGGACAGGTGAAGACTTCAGCTCTGAAAGAGCGCTGTAAACAGCTCTAAAGTCATGGGAAACATACATATATTAAAATCCAGGTCACAAGACAGATACATTACTTAGAGACTACAGCAATATTCAGATGCAGAATATTCTATGTTTGAAACAATTCTGAGCAGGCTATGGTTAAGATACAGAATGTGGGTTTGGTGAGCTCATCTTCACATCTCTCAGCCTGCCTGTGGCCTGAGTGGTAAAAATCACCTGCTTTCCCCACCCCCTTCAAAATTTTGCTTCCATCTGATGCCAGTGCCACCATGCGAAGATGAACCTCCCATGGCCAGCGGTCCGCTCCATCCCACCATCTCTTGGCTTGCCTTTCGACCGCATGGCACATTGGGATCACTTGCCTCCCTCCCTGTGCCTCTGCCTTTGTCTGCTGTCGGTGTCACCATGCAAATGGCCTCCTGTGGCTGCCTCCTCCAGCCCACCAACTGTTGGCTTTCCTGCGGCGCATCCTGATTGTGCCCCCCCCCCCAGTGTCTGTCTGCTGCTTGGACAGGTAATCAATTCATCTGCGCTGCATGGGCTGCAGCTGTTGACGAACACCATTGACCTCTGCAGCCTTGCAGCCTCTGGTGCTGGCAATGCCCACCCACCCAAGTAGGTGACAACCTTAATGGGGGCTTTTTTGTTGTTGTTGTTGCTTAGGTTTTATTTTTGGGGAAATATGGTATCAGATAAATATAACTAATCTTCATCTAGGATTTGGAAGCATTTAACTTATTCAACTGAACACTGTCTACAAACGTATGTAGAAAGTATATATTGTTTTCATTAAAACAGTCAAAAGATGATTTCATAAATGTAATTATAATTTAAAATCATGCCTGAATTATTTTCTATTTTGGAAACTACATAAAAACACTGAAGACTTACAAAAAATTATTTTTAACAATAATGAATTAAGTAATTTTAAGTGGTATTTTTAACACTTAAAATTACTCAATTTATTATAGCATAAGGTCTGATCAAATTGTCTTGTCCAAAAGAATCTTACATTGTAGTACAATATTGGATTGTACCATTCCACAAGAGTCTTCATTGTTTCATTTGCTGTAATAGGCTACCACAACTACACTATGAAACATATTGCTATAAACAAGATCATGGATATATCTGATCCATATAATCTTACTGTTTGAACTAAATAATAATATTCATTGACTTATTGCATATGCTTACCTTAACAGCAGCACAGAATTTTTCTTTCTCCTTTAAAACATTAGTTTATTTTCTTTTACAAATTTCAGTAAGGCAATGTGAAAATGATCCATGAGACACTTACTTTACAGACATTGTGCAGGCACTCTGTGGTCACTGGCTGATAAACCAGCTCCTGGCAGCAAACACACATAAAGGATTGTTCCAGTTTCTTCAAAAAATTCTAGGATAGGATAAGGGAAAAACAATTAAGTCAAATACTGAAGTGCTGTCAATCTCTTCATAAAATAGTATTATTTCTATATTAACCCAGACTTCTTTTCAGGCCTGGAATATAGCATTTGAAATACATTTTCTATTTTAATAAGTACACTACATATTAGCCAAATTGTGTTTTCACTTTCTACAGCTCCTCATGCACTCTGGATGATGGGGGGTACTTTCCAGAAAAGTTGCAGATATAACAAAGTTCTTGTTGTTGAAAATCCAGTGGCATGACATTAAAAGGAAACCATGCAGAACACTAGTTAAATAAAAACATACTGGTCCTTCTTTAAGAGATTTAAGAACTTCATCCCAAAGTTTCTGGTTTGGAGAGTCTTCCTGTATCAACCATTGTTGTTCCTGCGTTAGCTGAAAAGCTTCTCCCTTCCCTCCATCACTCAGCTTCATCGTTTTGGCTGTGTTTGTAGGTTGCTTTATATTGTCTGGAAAAAATGTTATCAAACTACAATCATAAATTTACACTGGCTCCTTCAACTACAGGTACAGGCTTATTGATTAGATTTAACAAGAAAATGTAAAATAACACCAAGACAAACTTAAATCAAAAACTTCCTCCAAAAATGAGCCGAGGTGGCGCAGTGGTTAGGGTACAGTACTGCAGGCCACTTTAGCTGACTGTGATCCGCAGTTCAGCGGTTCAAATCTCACTGGCTCAAGGTCGACTCAGCCTTCCATCCTTCCGAGGTGGGTGAAATGAGCACCCAGACTGTGGGGGCAAGTTGCTGACTCAATTTGCTAAAAAATTTGTAAACCACTTAGAGGGCTGAAAGCCCTATGAAGCGGTATATAAGTCTAATAATTAAATAATTAAACAAACAAACAAACATCCTCATATATACACCAAATATATATGAGCAACAATGGTGAATCTATACCTACTGGAAATAGTAATACCAAGTTGGAAAGATATTATGGGTGCATTTTAGAATATAACTATGTTAAGATTCTCAACACTGTACATTAAGTACAAGAATCATTTTGGAATGTGATCAATTCTCTATAAAGAGAGGCTTCATAAACTGGCTTCCTTCCCTGTTATTCTTCTTGTTATTGACCTCCCTACTGTCTTGTCAATGTCCTCCAAAACTTTCAAATGCCAAATATCAATCCCATTTTTCCGCCTTGCATCGTCCCTTCCTTTTCTGTGTTTCTAATATATCATAGAAAAATCTTAAGTTTCCTCTTCCTTGGTTAATCTACATGCTAATGGCCAATAGTTATCTATAACCAACAGCTTTTTTAAAAATCCCCCAAATTGCATTGTCAAATTTTGTCAGAGAATGCAGAAAACTAAAGGATAATTTCTCCCCATTCTTGGTAGTAAACAATGACAAACATTTTGAAATGACCTAAACAATGGCCCTGTGGCAAGAATGAGAGTTTTGCAGCAATTCTTCTCAACCCCAAGGAGCTTGAGAAATCTCTGTCTGTCTCTCTTTCTTTCTCTTTCTCTCTCTCTCTCTCTATCTACCTATCTCTCTTTATCTATCTTCTGGAGGGAGAGGTGAAAAAAACGGACTGTTTTCGCCTGTTTTTTTGTCTCCTGGGGTGTCTGTGCACCCCGTTTTCCACACCCATCTCCAGAAGCATTCTGCAGGCCAAAACCAGCTTGTTACAATCCCAAACACACACAAACATTCAAGAGCCCTCACTTAGTTGACAATGGTTATACAAATCCTAGTGCTATGGTGCTTGAATGATATGGAGTGTCATTTCTTTGATAAAGTGACTGCAACTTAATTATAAGAGTAAGTAAGATATATGGATGAGAGTGCATATCTAGCATGACTGATACTTCTGTCAATGCCCTGTCCAGTGGTTGACATAAAGATTCCTAAATTGCTTCTCTCTGAAGGTACTCATTCAGCCCTGCAGTTCACCAGCTAGTTGGGAATGAAGAAGTGATGGAACAGTAGACAAAATCTAGGTGGAAGATGACTCAGAAGATATCCAATTGAATACAAGGAAGAATCAATATGAAAATTGTTAATTTCTCAAAACTGACAGGCATGTTAGATGTTTGATGGAACCCAGAGAAATTATGATTCAATATGGGTTGAAATACCTTCTCTATCTGATAACTGATGGATTTAAGTTACTAAACATACCATCATTAATAGGTCTTTTCTGATTTCCATTGCTCTGTTCCACTGATTCCTGTTTCACAGGCTGCTTTTTTACTTTATCTTTCTTTTCTTTATTCGCCATAGCTTCCCAATAGCCTTCTGGGTACTACAAAAGAAGAACATCACATCTGAGAAATATTTACAGCAATGCTTGCATCAAAACAAGAACATCTGGAGTAGCAGTATGTTCATAAGATCCATTATTTCAAAGACAACTCCAGAGCTTGAAGGGGAGCAAAAAAAAAGTATAATCCGAGTTAACTAATTCAAAAGTGTCATTATTCCCTTGAGGCTTCCAAGATGAATCCTGAGTTTCTAATTGAATTTCTAACTATAACAAATAGATTGGTTAAAATTACCAGGTTTGCCTCTTTGGTAAGAAATCAAGGGGCTGTTTCCAGTTTTCTATATTTTAACAATTGATATAGGAATCCAAATGTTAACAAATGAAGTAAGTACTAGGTTAATCTACTTCAACACATTTTACATTGGGAGTGATTCGTGTTTGAAGGATAGTAAGTCACCTCTCAGTCTCCAAATTTTCTGAAGAACTAAGAATGAATAATCAACAGTTTCGAAGCCATTTATTGTCTGGGATGGCAGATAGGATAAAGATTTATATACTTTATTTACAGTTAAGAAGCAGGAATTTCCTGATATAAACTGTTTGTTCCCATCTATAAACCATCTCAAAATTTGAAAAAGTGTCCTCAACTATACTGTCAAAATTCAGCCATTTGGTTACTGAATTTCAATCATTATTTAAAAATTATGGGGCCAGAACACAAATGTAGTCCATGTGTAGCCTATACGTTGTCACCTTCTCATCATCATGAAATCAAGAATGGACTTCTGAACATTATATAGAAAATATAATCCAAGCCATCTGATATCTTTAAAACAAATCTGAAGGAAATCTTCCAAGAGAGCTTCTGCTGAGTATTGACTAACTTGTCTGTTTTAGTAAAACATAAAAATGATGACAACTTTAAGTTCTAACCTGTAAACTCAGGCCCAATTTCTTTGACCGTTCAATTCCCTCTGTAGTCCAAGGTGCAGGTTCAGCATCATCTCTTCTCAGAAGATAGCGCCAAACTAAAAATCCACATTTTCCAATTTCTGGCCAATATTTCACCACCTAAATTATAAAGTAGAATTGGCTGATTAGATCAACTTTAAGAAACTATTCAAACATTTGTAATTAAAATGTTTAATCTAACAAGGTTATCATAAAGAATTTCCTAAAGTTGACAGTACAAAGATTTTTTGAAAAATCCAATACATTAAGTAAAATAGTCAAGGAAGGACGAAACAAAAAAGAGTAGAAATAAGATTATTTAGACTACCACATTACAGCATAAATGAATTTATTGATCTGTGATTTTCTTCTTTGCTTAGTTGTGTTTTCAAAGTGGGTAACAAAATTAAAATGCAGGATACAAAATACAAAATTAAAGTATGAAATAATCAAATATTAAAAACCTGGAATTGCATCTTGAATTCTCTTGTAATATACAGAAAGAAAGGGCCAAAAAGAGTACATTCCATAATATGAATGTGATACAGAAGAGCTTCTGAGTCAGGGGACACCCACAAAAAGGCTTCTTCTGCAGATCATAAAGTTCCTACAGACTTGTTAGAGAAAAGGAAACTGTTCAGATAGTCAGGTCCTAAGCTGTGCATTATTGTTTTATTATTTTCTATTTTTTATTAAATGTATAAGCCCACCCACTCTAAAATTTAATGGCAGCACTGTATCTTTCCTATCATTCCCATATATTTTATTAGTTAACAGCCCAAATGCCACATTTTGTGGCAACTAAAATTTCCAGGTGCTTTTTAAGGATAAATCATAATAACCGAAAAGTAGCTAACAATGATTAGCAATCATCCAGATATCCTGAAAGTGCAAGTGTAGTGGGCTCTTTATCACAGCTGCAACCTTAATCAATGGGATCTTCTATTTCTGTGGAAAAGGGAGGGATGTAATATATCCACAACAAGCTAAATTTCAACATCCAAGTACCCAAGACTCAACTAACATAAGCCTGGATTTTATTTGTTTGTTCATCTGAGTTTAGCTCATTATCAAACTTCATTATTTGTCTTCAAGTACTATTTCCTTGAGGGCAAGCAGTAATCAAACTGGTGTTATCAACACATTGATAGCATCCTACTCCAAAGTTCCAGCTGTTTCAAGTAGATGCTGAAGAACATGAGGAACAAGATGGAGTCTCATGGCATGCCACAGTGTGAAACAGAAGTGCCTCAGCAAAAGATCTGAAATTACTGTAAAACAGCTTAAAGAAATTAGGAGAGTCACGAGTCCTATACATTTTCCAGCATAGATAATCCACCAAGCCAGTTTTAGTCCTGTATTTAAACCAAAAGTTAAAATTAAGATATCTGGAAGAGTAATAAAGTATTTGCCTGGAACCAATGTTCAATGTCAGAAAAACTCTCTAGAAAGAAATAATGAACAGCTGTAGATTAAAGATCCCAGAAAAGTAAATGGGATATATTTTCCTAATCTCCTTCCTAGCAGAGATCATAGGAAGTGCTAGGCAGTTGACATGTTAAACCAGATCTAAATCTCAACTTGAAGTGGATTTTGGATCTTTTACATCCAAGCATATCTAGATATAACAATTTCTCTCTACATATACATTAGTTCTAGGAAAGAAACTTATGCTATCTGAAAAGCAACTTACATACAAAGGCAAGTTGAGGTATTGATCTCAATTTATCTATCTTGCTTCTGATCATCTCCACTGTGTTGTAGTGGACTTCCTAAGCAATGGTATTGTAAAGAAAGAACTTAATATTGACTTCCACAATAAGTAACCTTTGATAACCAGACCGTTTCTCTAAAAAGTATATATCCCACATTTTCTAAGAATCAAAAGACATTTTTTTTACTGGTAGTGGCAGATTTATTTTTTTGCAAATCAAGATAAATAATAGAAAAAGTTAGCTGAAGACGTTTACATAAATCATCAAAAAGATGCCAACAGCTGAAAACTCTGTTTCCTATGCTATAAATAGAAACCATTTTTTTAAAAAATGCACACATTATTGAATTACTAAATATATATTCAATTATCAATTCCTTCTCTCCCTCCATCAACTCAGATACATTGTGCAAAAGCTGAAATAATAGATAACCAATACAACAGTATAATAAATTGATTACTGATGTTAACTGGGCATACTTTCTAGAATGTGTTGAATCCAAAACTGCATGAAGAGAAAGCTGTGCACACAAAGGGCTTTCTTTAAACCCACTATGACAGATCAGAAGGTTACTGAATGCTCAAAATGTGCCATTAGTAACATTCAGAAATCACAAAAAATCATACAATGTGCCTTTTAAATCAATATGTTTTACAGTTAAAAAAAGGACTTCATTATCAATATTTTCCAAGACAAACAGAAGAACAATACTTACCTTGTATATGCCATCATATCTGTTGCCTTCCTCTGGTGCGTATTTGCTGATCCTTCGACCTTTTGAACTGCGAACAACTCTAACTGGTTTCCCAGCTCTCCAATTTTTAGACTCAGCTCCATTTTTGTCATCTAATGAAGCATCACAATTTAGAGCTAGGGCCCTGAAAAAAATAATTTTTTAAAAGTCTTTCAATACAACAGAATATTTCTTAAAGTATTAGACCATCAGTGAGGATTATCATGACATGCCAAACCATTGCAATTTAATACTCTATAGTCAGCAGAGCATACAGTAGGCTAGTTAAGCATAGAATCACTATGAGTCAACTGCAGTTTGTTCCTATGGAAACAGTATGCCCATCTCAAGTCTAAATGTATCCTCCTTTTTCTTCCTTCACAAAAACATAAGAGTGCTGCATTCAGGCACACAAAGATTCAGCCGCCAGATGCAGGTGTTCCACAATTTGAAGGGCTCCTAACTTTATTCAGCTATTAAAACTAAACATTAAAGGTTTTCCCCCTCTGTAACCTGTTCCACTTTATCCTTCCATCAACAAGATAGCGATAAGCAGAAATATTGTTTTCCCTCTACAGGAAAAGCTGCAATCCACTTTTGCCTAGCATCTTGATTTATCACAGCACTTTAATTTTCCAAGGTACCTCTAAGATGCTTTAGCAACCTATAAGACGCAACAGACTTAGGATGATTACCTGTTTGAAAGTGCACAGTTTCTCCTTAAAAATGAATGCTTGCTCCTTAAAAAACAAATAGGAAATATTTTTAAAAGCACCTGTTCATGTGTGTTAAAGTTTGATCAAATGAATGTTCCCCAATTCTTTTATTGCCAGAAAGATCTCTTCCACCACTCCCAGTGTAAGTAAATTCATCACCTCGGTCCTAGATAAGAAGATAAATTATCCTTTAAAATGTGAAATTATGATCGAGGATAGTCTGAAACATACAAGTAGAAGATGAAAATGAGAATGAGTCTCATTCAATAACAGCTGTGATATATAACTATGCCAACACTTTATGTGGTGTGGTCACAGATATTTGGGGAGGTGTTTGTGTGCGGTTATATTCATATGTGTTTGCATACAAATGCATCTATCTAAAAACACAAAAAAGCATTAACTTCAGTAGGCAGTGTCTTAGAAGGACCAATGTACATGTGGTGCAAGAGGGGAACAGAATACTGATGACATTCTCATTCTGAGTATAAATTGAAGGATTTTTCAACCCCAATCTTCACATTCCATACTCTTCCATTATATCTGTTCTATATCCAGGATAGATGTGAATATAGCAAATTTGACTTAGTGGCAAAGAGCTGGATCTAATAACAGCTTTCTACAAGATTTATGGAATGTCAAGTATATTATCCTCAAATTTCAGGATTAAAAGACTTGCAAAAACTTTCCAAGAATTTCATTAGCTGGGGGACATCAACACATATCAATGCACCTTTTCCATCTATACTGTAAAAATAGTGAATACAAGTATAAACTGCCTAAATATTTTATTGTGTTTGTTATTCTAAAAAAGGTCAACTACTGTATATTTTGGCATATTGACATTTTTTTTTTTTACATTCAATATTTTCTAGCAGTTTGCCTTAACAATGTCAACTATTCTGGTTTTTGTGCATCTGTAGGTATATGACTGGCTTTTTGTTTCATCACAATTCTTGAAGTTGTACTGTATTATATACACAGTATATATGGATGTAATTACTTTTATTAATATCTTAGTCTACTACTGTGTTTCCCCAAAATAAGACCCAGTCTTATTTCCTTTGGGACACTAAAAGCACCAGGTCTTATTTTCAGGGACTGTCTTACCCGTTTACCTTAGGACCACTGCAGTCATGCCTCCCACACCCCAACACCTGCTGCGCTGGGTGCCCGACTTCTTCTGTGGCTGCTTGCAGCCAGATACCACATGGCTCGTCACGCAGCCTGTGCAAGCTGTCTCCAAGCTGTTTTTCAGCTGATTAAAAAATTTTAACTTCTGGTCTTGCAGATGAACAAGACGAAGAGACAATGACGGCCGGAGCAAAGGTAGGCAATTTTCTTGGAGGGGGGGGGGAGAAAATAATATTTTAAAAAGTTATCATCAGCTATCCGTTTCCTTTGGGCTAAACTCCTTTACACCAACCATTTCTACTTGACTACACTTTCTTTCATTTTTGCTTCCCTTCTGAGAAGGAAGAAAAGAATGTGAGCAGGGTGGATAAAAATCAATGGTTTGTGTTTTTTTTTAATGGATTTTTAAAATTTTAAATCAGATTTTTAAAAAATTAAATTTATTTTAATAAAATGCTTTTGGAGTAAAAATCTGTCTAAAGGTAAGTTTTCTATTTAAGACACATTAATAATTTAGCTTACTCAGCATGAAAGGGAGCTTAGTTACGTAGCATGAGGCTGCATATTCTGCAATATTGGGACTGTCAGTAAGTCAACAGTGGGTCAGAGGAGGAGCTGCTACAGGACAGAGATGACAGTTGCTTTTTAAAAATTATGATTTAAATCGAGTTGATTTCATTCAAATCCACCCTGGAGCCAAGTATGCATATCTCATGTTCCCACATGCAGCAGGCTGCCGTGTGGAATGTCATGCTGATGTCAGTGCTTGTGTGAGCAGTGGCACAACATGCCACACAGCCTCCTGCCATGAGTGGAGGCATACCATATGCATACTTGGCTCGCATTCTTTTCTGCCTTCTCAGAAGGGAAGCAAGAGTGAAATGAAGTGCAGTCAAGTGGAAATGGTCGGAATGCATTTAGAGTTTAGCCAAAAGGAAATGGATAGCTGATGATAGCTTTTTAAATTATTTCCTGGGGGGAAAAATGCTCCAGAAGTTAAAACTGTTTTAATCAGCTTTATAGCTCGGAGACACTTGCATGGGCTGCGCGATGAGCCATATGGCAGAAGTTGGGCAGCAGCACAACAGGTATAGGGATATGAGAGGCGTGGCCACGGCAGTCCTAATGTAAGTAGGCGCGGGGCTCATGGGGCAGCTCCACCCCCACCCTGATTTTTACGCATGCACCTCACCTCATACAACCAGATGGTGGGAGGGGCTTAACTAGGGCTTATTTTGGGGGTAGGGTTTATATTAGGTACATGCATGAAAATTGGGCTAGGTCTTGTTTTTGGGGTATGTTGTATTTTCAGGAAAACACGGTATTAGCAAAGGGTGAGTTTGAACAATTTTAAATACAGTTTAATGGCTTTGAGTGAATTCGGACCTCACAGATATGATAAATTACTGATCTTTCTCTCCCTGGCTATATCCATTCCACACGATGTAAACTATACTCCCCTCCAAAATAATTTAATAAAGCACTTAGCAAGACTTAAACGTTTAACTGGTTCAAGCGTGGGAGCATGAATTACATCTGTTTGAGAGCTGCTATTCTTCTATGGTTGTTTGGGGAAATAAAGAGAAATGTTTGAAGGCTTATGCACCTTTTCCTTTGAAGTATTCTGATTTTTAGCATCAACTATTCAGTAAAATGCATCATCTCAGTAAAAACTAATTAGCATTTAATGGCAAATGTTACCAATAAACTAAAAGGAATCTATAACAACATTATTAGTACACTGTCTGTATTAATCACAAAATTGTAGGCCTGAGGAATTAGGACAAAACACACAAGTACATTATATCTTGAGGTACTTTGTATTCAAACATGAACCATGGATAATAAATAAAAAGAAACATTAATTAAATATCAAAGCATGCCAGTTAGCACCAATTCAATACTATCAGATGTACCTGACTAAATCAACCAAACGTTGTAGCAGTTGATAAGCTGGATTTACACAATAAAAAATGTTAATAAATTATCTAGTAAATAGAAATGTTTTATAAATTTCATAAGCAACTTATGAAAGCCAAAATTCTAGTAAATATTCTAATAAAATTATATGAATGTATGTTTGGTTGCACTGCTGAAATACCTTTTTTTTCATTTGCTAGATACATTTCCCATCTTTATTTTGTGCAGCTTAATCTTCAACCCTGATAACTTTAGGACCTGTGGACGTCAGCTCTCAGAATTCCTCAGCCAGCCAGGCAAGTCCACAGGTCTTAAAGTTACCAAGATTAGAGACCCCTGCTAATAAAATATTCCCTCCTCCAGAGGTGGGTTCCTACCGGTTCAGCCGAACCGGTAGTAACTTGGCAGCCTGGGTCACTGGAATTGGCAGCGACCCAAGCCTGCCACGCCCCTGAACCAGTTCTCCCGGCAGTGCCATAGGGGCCACCATGTTGTTTTTGGCTTCTGCACATGTGCAGAAGCATTTTCTAGTACTGTGCATGTGCGTACAGCGCGCATCACAAACAAACTGGCAGTAGCTGCTGCCAGAACCCACCATGCCCTCCTTCCATTTTCTTCACAATAGCACTGCAAAGTACATTGGACTTATGATTGGCCCAAAATCACCCAACAGCCTTTCTTTTAAAATGTTTTCCCTCTATTGTTACAATTATTGTATAAGCCCTGTACAAAGGTCAGAAATAAAAAATAGAATATCTTATTTAATAGAGCAGTGGTTCTCAGCCTGTGGGTCGGGACCCCTTTGGGGGTTGAATGACCCTTTCACAGAGGTTGCCTAAGACCATCGGAAAACACATATTTTCCAAATAATATGGAAAACATAAAATAATTTTATGGTTGGAGGTCACCACAACATGAGGAACTGTATTAAAGGGTCGCGGCATTAGGAAGGTTAAGACCCACTGTAATAGAGAGTACATTGTAAAAAGAAGTATTGTGTACAGTAGTGCCCTTTCCTGCTTCCTTTAATTTATCTTCCAACATTAACTACTACCTAGATAATCAAACTTTGCTTTACATTTTATTGTTCTTTCTTTCTAGTCGGACAACATAACTACAGCTTCATTCTAAGTCTCCAATACAAATCTCTTTTGCCAAAAACAACTCCTAGCAACAGAAAGAAATATCATGTCCTGCCTCTGGCTAAATATCAATTCTGATTTAGCTAGTTAAGGTGAATCATTCGAGCTGTCAGATTAATAAACATCTATAATTTTTCTCTCCTTCTCCAGTTAGAATCTCAGTATAACTGAATGCTAGGACCCACTGACATTTTGCTAACACAAAAATATATGCATTTTAAATATTAAAAAACATTTTACCAGCATGTTTATATCTTTACATAGGATGACATAAAACAATCCAATAGAGCATTAATACATAAACTAATCAGAATATAGAACTTACAACTTCATCTTCAAATCCTCCAGCCAACACAAGGGAGTACGCTCCATCATTACTACGTCCATGGATTCCACCAACATGAGGTCTATGAACACCTGCTTCACTCACCTTTAAAATAAACAAGTTTAAAATATGTTCCTATTTTTAATAGCATAAGTGAAATATCAGTGCATCTAATTTAAATACTTTTATCTTATTTTCCTGAAAAAATGTACTCAAAAGCTATTGAATTGTACTCAAAACACTTCCCAGTTTCAAAAATATTTTGTCATATATTATAATGCTGACATTTTTTAAACGGTAACTTTAAAACCTGAGTCCATAGAGCAGTAAATTTATGTTTGGCAATTATTCAAGACAAAAGATTTATCTTACAATAAAGATATTAACCCAGCATCATAAAAGGTTAACTTATACTGATATACTGATAAGATTCTGTCAATAAATCTGCATGACAATGGGAAAAATTCAAAAGCAGCTACTAGTACAACATAAAAACTAATTGGCTTCAAATATGACATTAAAAACCCAAGTAATGATTTATGCACTCATGCAAATGACACAATGCTGAAACAAGAGTAAAAACCAGTATATAGAAAATATATCTACATACCTGCACTCTAAATTTCCATGTTGCTCCAACAGGAACACCAGGTATAGGTCCATAATGGTTAGAAGGAACAATAGTGCATTCCTTAGTACGGCCAACACAGGCCATGCCCTACCATCATCAGAAGAACAAGCAAGCAATTAATCATAGTAATTGTGAAAGTTTATTAACAAATATGTGTTTTAGCAATGTTTTAGTTCACAGTTATTGAGATAAGTGTATTCAAGCGCTGTTTTGAAACCAGACTGGTGAGCAATAAAAAAATGGTCGCAGTTGGCTTTGCTAATTTTTTTTTGAGAACAGCTACTATGAATTATATATAAAACCAGCAAACTTCCCTATTAGCAGCACATAAAAGATAGCATAAGAATTAAATTGTTTACCAGAGTTGCTGTCGTTATTCAGCATGGTCACAAGACTTTATGCCTTATTATCACTGAATGAGGGTGGTCCTGGCCCAATCATTATGGATAAATGTGGACTACTATATTTAAATATTTCCTAACATACATTTTAATGAATATTTTCAGAATTCTCCATCCAGAATAGGTAGAACAAAATATTTCATTGGAACCAGTCAACCGTCTAAATTAAATTCCATTATTAATCCTCATCTCAATATTTTTTTAAAAAACAGACAGGTTCATAGTGATATAGGGAACATTTTTAGATGCCATAGTACAAGCTAACTAAATCTTCATACGTTTATTAAATTGCGCCCAAAAACTGATTAGAACCCAGTTAAGACTTTAATTCAAATATTATCCATCTTCACTGATGTATTTTCAACTAACTGAATATCTGAAATATTCTTTTTCAAAATCATTCACATACAAAGCACTGAAATATTCATGTTTGAGAAATAAAATAAATAATACAATAGTAATATGCTAAAAAAACCCAAACATCTATTTTCATGTAATTGGTACCGTAAATGTCATAGTAATCTAAAATAATGCAAAAGATATTGCAAACAATTAATTTGGGGTTCTGTGGCATAAATTAATTAATTAATTAATTAAATAGCAGTAGCACTTAGACTTATATACCACTTTATAGTGCTTTACAGCCCTCTAAGCAATTTACAGAGTCAGTATATTGCCGTCAACAATCTGGGTCCTCATTTTACCCACCTCAGAAGGATGGAAGGCTTAGTCTGGTGAGATTTGAACTGCCAAATTGCAGGCAGTTGGCAGTCACCAGAAGTAGCCTGCAGTACAGCACACTAACCACTGCACCACCCAAGCAACCAGATTTTTTAAATGACTGTAGTTACTTTTAAAAACTACTCTAAAATAACAAACTTCATTTGACTTTGCTAGCAAAACGGAAGGGAAAAAAAGCACACTCTAAAATAATTTCAATTCCTAATCATGATTTAATTCCATACTATGTTTACAAAAAATCATACTTAAGTATGATGTTTAAACTGAATCAAAAATGCTTTGTTTCAGACAGGGGAAGTAGCAGCTAATAGTGATTTTGAATAACTTGTCTGAGTTTTTGTTTCTGGGGTTTATTTTATGTGGGAATTACATTTCATACTTGGGATTATGAAGCTATGGAGGATATTAGTAAACAATTATTTTTTTAAACTTTTTTTAGATTCTTGAAACTGCTTGAAGTTTATAAGTGAGGAAATAAATAAATGTTTAGAGATAATACATACAAAGGTATCTAAATGTTATTTACCTTGCCCCAATCACGTTGGCTGTCAGTGTAGGCAGAGGGCATCTTTGCTTTCTTTTTACTTTGTTTGAGCTTTTCTCCAGCTTTTACAACCTCGTTAGAATCATTTTTACAGGAAGGACAATACCTAAAATATTAATTATTTTAAAATCTGTTAAGCTATAAATAAAATACAAATAATACCAATATATGAATTTTATACAATATGCATCTGAAACACAACTCCTTGTGGTTTTATATTTTGTATTTACATTTCTTGAAACCCCTTTCTTCTTTTAATCATAGGGATATTGTTTATTTATTGTATTTTTTGTTCAAGTAGCTATAATTTTATCACCATAGTATCGTGTAACAGACATTAGATTTACAAATTGATTCAAAATCATCAAGCAAACTCCATGACTGATTAAATCTCCAAAGTCTCAGTTCAAGACCTACACTAGATAATTTGGCTTATAACAGTTGGGACTGGAATTTCTACCACTAATTGATAAAGCATAAACAGATCACTTAATGATGGCAATCTCTCGAGTGTCTGTTGCCTTCATTAACTGAAGCCTATGGTTGTTACATGAGACAACTTCCTGCTGGCCTCCATAACCAAAGTCAGTGGGGAAGCCAGAGCCAGAAATTGCAAGTCCTAGACTGGCAGCCGGGTAAGGCTAATAGCAATAGCACTTTGACTTATATACCGCTTCACAGTTATTTTACAGCCCTCTCTAAGTAGTTTACAGAGTCAGCATATTGCCCCCAACAATCTGGGTCCTCATTTTACTGACCTTGCAAGGATAGAAGGCTGAGTCAACGTTGAGCCACTCAGAATTGAACTCCTGAACTGAACAGTGAGTTAGCCCTACAGTACTGCATTCTAATCACTGCGCCACCACAGCTCTTTAATGCTAATGCTGGGTGGGGAAGGGAGTGCAGGGAAGGATGAAAAGAGGCATGCAGTAATGGCTGGCACGAGCACAGAAGGACTGGGGGAGGGGGAAGTATACAGGTGGGGCAGACTTATCCCAGTGACTTGCGACCTTCCTGACAGATTCCCCA